ATTTCAACTAAAATTAATAATCAATAATACACTCCTCTTGTCAAATCTAGTTGATAAGTTTACTCTGCTATGTAACCATAATGTGTCTAAGATCTAAAATTAGTGAAAACATCTTTGTATGGTTTCTTGAAATCTTCTCAAAATTCAAAGCTTAATTTTAAAACAGATCTGAGCAGTAATTCTATATTACCTTTTCCCTCGTGAAATGAACAACACAGTCTGTTGTCAAAATTCTGTCCTTACAATGATTCACGAACACTTTATCTTAACAAAACTGCTGGACAGCAAGACACTATCCAGACACTGTGACCCAACAAATGAAACACAACGAAGACAGTGACCCTATTCTGGAGGGCTTAGAGTCTGTGTCAACACCAGGGTTTTTATTTGATTGGTTTGATTGGTTGGCAAAATAATATCAATCAGGTACTTTCTTCTTTGAGCATTCTGTAAGTCATGACTGTTTTTAGTGTCATGAGCAGGAAAGACTTAAGCATGACTTGATTAGGTCAACTAGCAACAATCATCACTGCAGAGTGAGTAATAAAGAAGTTAACTGATAGCAATGCTTTTGCCTACATGAGACCTAAAATAAACCTACACTGATCTCTGTAAGGACAATGAGGAGATGAGGTCCCCAATGAGAAAACAAACTAACAAGAAATCAAAAAAGGAAAGACATTTTCATTAACGACTCCAGGCATTAGGGTTGAGCATGGTGGTGAAGAGCACAGTTGCTGGGGACAAACATGAGGGTCTCAACTCCCACAGCACTGGGTAGCTGTGACACTGATATTTCAGTGAAATTCTCTGCATCTCAGTCTCCGATCCCTAGACTGGGGACAACAGCACCCGTCTCCTAGAACGGTCCTAAGAATTAAGTTATTTTAGATTTAAAAGTTTAAATAAAATACCTCAGATATTAAATATTATCCCAAAAGCACAAGGAAAAATGAAAACACAGATAAATTGGAGTTCATTAAAATTTAAAACTTTGCTTCAAAGGACACCATCCAGAAAGTGAAAAAACAACACTTAGGAGAAAATTTTTTCAAATCATTTATCTCATAAGGAATTTGTATCTCAAAAAAAAAAAATTCCACAGCTCAACAATAAAAAGGCAACTCAATTAAAAAG